ACTTTCCTGTATATCATGCAAACAACAATGGGAAATTCAAGAGGGCGTATTCAGTCCGACTCAGTGAATCTCATTGGCATCTTCATGCCTGGTGCTTTGCTAGTGACTGTAAGAAATTCACAGATGTAGCCACTTTGTGGGGCAGGGGGGCATATATTTAATCCACAAGTACATATTTGGGGAGGCTCTTTATACCATCAGCACTGTTCTAGGCACTACAGTGATCAGAGAGAGGAAATCAAGAGAAGAAAATTAATATGTTCACTCTTTTTTAAAGATTTATTTATTTATTTGAGAGAGAGAGAGCGAGAGCGAGCGGGCAGGGGCAAGGTCAGAGGGAGGGGGAGAGAGAGAATCCCAAGCAGACTCCCCGCTGAGCACAGAGCCTGACGTGGAGCTCAATCTCTGTACCCCGAGATCATGACCTGAGCCAAAATCATGTGCCCGACCCTCAACTGACTGAGCCACCTAGGTATCCCTAAAGTGTTCATTATTTAGTGGGCTTTAGTGCTCTGAGAATCTAGTTGGGAATATTAGTGAAACAGAAAGACTTAACACATTACGGAAGAAGTAGATTAGTGATTAATTGTTGGGCTGTAAGTGTAACTGGGTTTCCAAGAAGAAAGAGATTGGCATGGACTGGTACATTTGGAAAGAAAGTGGGAGGGGATTGCAAAACTGTGACTCAGAGAGCACATAGGATTTATACAGACAGAGGAGAGGAAAGGAGAGGAGAGAAGATATTTTTAGGAGAATGAGCAAAAACTTGAACATGGGCACAGAGATGGGAATAAGCACGGCAAATATGGGAAGCATCAAGAAGAGCTCTCAGGACATGAAAGAAAGAACTGTTGACAATATCATAGATCTGGCCTCATGGCACTGTGGAGCACACCGTGGACTAAGAACCAGAGGGCCTGGATCCCCAAAGGTATTATCCTGGTTCTGCACTTACTACATGGGTGGCCTTGGTTAGGTCATTTAGATGCTTTGTGCCCTGGTGCCCTGACTTACTCAGTCATGTGAGGATACTGACAGTAGCCTGCTTCTCTCTCATGCTTGTAAAAACCACAGGAGATGATGTCTGAAGAAGTGTTGTTTTTTTTTTCTTTAGTTTTACTTATTTATTATCTTTTATTCACTTATTTGAGAGAGAGAGAGAGAGAGAGAGAGAGAGCGAGCACACAAGCAGGGAGAGTGGCAGACAGAGGGAGAAAGAGAGGCAGGCTTCCCACTGAGCAAGGAGCCTGATATGGGGCTCGATCCCAGGACCCTGGGATCATGACCTGAGCTGAGGGCAGATACTTGATAGAATGAGCCACACAGGCGCCCCAAGAGGTGTTTTTTAAATAGTAAAATAAAAATGAGGATCCCTTCTTCCATACGGTATCACACCAGCATGGTGAGGAAATGGCTCCTGAGTCTATAGTATGGTTTGTTTTCTAGTTGGCTGCAGGCAGAAGGTTACTGCATGTGGGAGCAGGGGCTGCTGATTAGTTGATATGAAGGCAATTTTTTGCCCCTGAAGAGGGGCAGACCTGGGAGCCTGAACACAGGGGAACCTGGGTTCTCTGCTGGGTTGTATGAACTCTCTGAAAGGGGTGCCTGTTCTCTGACATCAGATGAAACAAGTGACAAAACTATACATGAAGGCCGGTGAGGTGTGGCGGAAAAAAGACCTGGACTTGGAATGAAATCTGTCTGAGATCAGATTTTAGGGTTCACCCCATAGTAAACATGTGGCCTTAAGCAAGCAACTTGCTATCTCTGGGCCCCAGTTCCCTCATCTGTCAAACTGAAGTAAAAACAACATCTGCCCCACTTCCTTATAGAGTGGGTTGTTGCAAGGATCAAATGCACAACATGTGAGAGGTTTCTGTAAACTCTAAAGTGGTAGGCCAAGTTGGCTTATTTTCATTTTTCTTATTAATAATTGAAAACTGAGTTTTCTGACCAGTTGCCATCTACTATTTTAGCCTGCCCTATCATCATTTCTGAAAGGTTATATTTCAGTAGAGCTAGCTGTACCTTACCACAGTATTAACACTGTAGTTAGTCTGAATTCTTAGGGTTTCTATGTAATTAAATCAGAACCTCAATTTAGTTTGAAGATCACAGAGTCATAAACCATTCAGGGGTAGTGGTGGGGAGTCTGGATCTACAGTTAAGACAGAAGACAAATTTGCTCAGTTCTATTTTACTCCACCTGATCATTTGCTTTATGTGGGCAAGAACACAGAGCTCAACAAGGTTTTCAGAATGTCCCAGTTAACAAAAGTGTTCCCACTCAGCTTGACTACTCTACAACCCTAACACCAGCCTGGATAAACCTGCACTAATTTAGTGTCCTCTCAGTACTAGCATTCTAGCCCTGGCAGGCTTCCCCAGTCTCTCCGAGGGAAAACAAACAAACAAAAACCAAACAACCCAGAGTGGGCTTCTTTGATTGGGTCTTAATTTTGTGTCATTGTCATTTTGTCTAAAGTTACACAAAATGCCTCACCCACATCTAAAGTGCACAAGGAGTTGGAAGAGGAGCAGGGTTTTGTGAGAGTATGTAGAGAGTGTTCTCAGAAGGCTGGGATTATCTCCAACCAAGGGAGAGAGATGAAAGGTGGGTCCTCTCTTCCCATCCACCCAAACAAGCAACAGAGTCTTCAAGTAGACCACTTCCTAGATCTTCAAATGCACCCCCCTCCATGAGGGACAGAGAGGTGCTGTGACGTGGCGCCTGGAGCTCAAGGCAGAGCACATCTGCCCCACCCCCCAGCTCAAGCAGCCTCTAGGACCCCACTGAGACGTTACCGTGGCAACCACTGTTTGGTCTGCTGTCCCGTTGCCCCAGGAGACTCCACAGGCCTTTCCAAGAGTCTCAGAGTTAAGCCAGAGAGTCCTTGGCCCAGACCCAGGACCCTCCCTTCCACAGCGAGGCTCCTGCCTCCAGACCGAGCCCCATACGCCCCATCACTGAGGACCAAATTTCCCTCAGGCTCTCCGAGAAAGGAGAGCAAGGACAGCCTCATGAGTGAGGTGGGAGAGGTCACCCTGACGGAGGTGACCGCCTCAGTCTCCCCTCAAGGCACGCAGAAACTCCTGGTTTCCTTGGAAAGCGGAGATCCTCCCCGGGCCCCAGTCGCAGGCAACCTCAGCAGAGACGCAATTACCAAGACCACCGTGGCAGCAGGCGCCAAGGGAAAGGTGCCCCAAAAGGTCATCGCCAAGAGGGTGCGAGGCTCTGTCAAGTGGTTTAACGTGAAGAATGGGTACGGTTTCATCAGCAGGCACGATACCCAGGAAGATGTGTTTGTTCACCAGACAGCCATCACCAGAAACAACCCTCACAAATACCAACGCAGTGTGGGCGACGGCGAGACAGTTGAGTTCGACGTGGTGCAGGGTGAGCGGGGCACCGAGGCCGCTAACGTGACTGGGCCAGCAGGTGTCCCAGTGCAGGGCAGCCGCTATGCTGCCAATCGCCCCCGCTTCCGCAGGGGCTTCTACATCCGCCGCCGCGCACCGCCCCCACGAGGTCCCAGGGGCGCTGAAGAGGACGTCGACGAAGATGAGGCCAGAGACGAAGGCTTCACCGAAGCCGAGGGCCAGAGGCGCCGCCTGGCCGGCGGACCCCAAGACCAAAGGCTGCGGCGCTTCCCACCCTTCGAAAGGGCCTCTGCCATGTCCCGCCGCCTGTCGATCCTCACTCCCAGCAGCGGCCCAAGG